CTTAAATTATGAAGATTGCTCAGTGGCTACAAATAATTTCTAGATTCTACAAAGTTATCAACTGAATGTTCTAAATTATCAAATTTTATATCGTTCCTTACATTTTCATTGTTACCACTTTGATGGATTTTTGAATTGCTTGAAAATTATATTAATCAATGTTATTCATAATATTATAATTTTCCAACAACTAATTTCAATTTCAGTTTCATATTCATATTTTTCAATCGTAAACTGATGATGAATGGAAACGCAGTGAATATATTTACAATAACAAATAATTTTGTAAAAATTTTAAAGAAGAGCGATAATTAATCAATATTAATATCATAATTTATTATTTTTCTTTATGATAAAATCATATTTGCGTTTAATAATTTTACCTTAACCATATCACTGTACAATATGATGTGTTCTCTTGTGATAACATCATTTGAAGAATATCGCAGGTATGTAAAAGTCGTATAATAAATTCATGGTATTCAGGCTCCAGAAAATCATACTTCTGATCCGCTTGTTAACAATCAAAATATCAATTTTCTAATTCAAATTCATATCGAAAATTTTTGAGCTGTAATTTCTGCACATCTTTCCTGTTCGCATATTTGCATATGAAATAAACCATAATTGCACTAACGAATAGAATGATGAATAGTGAATAATAAATAAAATTAGCAAAAAAGCGTAAGATAAATGGAATGGATCTTAACAACTATCAAATACCAAACATTTGCAAAGAAAAAAACCATTTAATTTAATTAATAATACTAACGAAAAAGCATGCAATGAGTAAAATATTAAAAAGGCACCCAGCAAGGACAAATGGTGACACAAAGTTGTAAACAAATATTGTAAACAAAGTTAACCAAAAGAAGAAATCCGATATGTAAATCAAAAAAGTACATGCAATATGAAAACTTCGACAAAAGCATAAAATCGGAAGAAGTAATCGTTTAAACTGCAAGTGGATACGAATATGCAAATACCTGCAATATCAATCGAATAATTTGTCTCTCTAATAAGTTTTATTTTAACGAAGTCAACAAATGTTAAAAATAAAATTCAACAGATTTCAATTTTAATTTAACGGCTCGAAATAAATTCACTTCTTCCCTAACGCATTAAACTGTTGCAATGGTAACAACCGCTTTTGAAATACAATTACANTTTAACGAAGTCAACAAATGTTAAAAATAAAATTCAACAGATTTCAATTTTAATTTAACGGCTCGAAATAAATTCACTTCTTCCCTAACGCATTAAACTGTTGCAATGGTAACAACCGCTTTTGAAATACAATTACAGCAAAAAATAAAGGTCAATTTAATGGATCGCCGCTCATTTGCTATATTAATCAAAATTAATTAGGAAAATTTGATCGTTCAATCAAAAAATGTTATACTTATAACTGCTGGCAATGGTAAGTATATGATTTCTAGATTAGTTCAAATATTTAACTGATTTGATAAAATATTTATTCAACAAACATTTCAACAATTTCAATGTTTGAATTTAAGATATTGAATCGGATTATAAACATTTTTTGCCACATTTACACAACTAAAAATGTAACAATGCAATTTCACGAACTGTTACTAATTCTCTGCGTTTCGGTACTACTGCTGGTGTTCTCGGTACTGCACCGATACTTCCCTCATTGAGGAACGGCCTATGCGATGTTACTTGCCGCCTCTCCGCCATCTTCATCTCCCCTTCTTCGTTGCTTTCACTCTCCACAAGCGCCAGCATTGCTTCTTCCTCCAAATCTTCCGGCTCCATTTCTTGATGCTGGAGAAGATGAAGCATGACTTGATCTTTATTTTTGTTCTGCTTGTTCAGGCTATGTTGCTGTTGCAGAATTTCGCGGAACACTTCCAGTTGTTCCTGAGATGGCGGAGGACTTGCATGGCGGAACAATTCTGCTTGATGCTCACTTTCCTCTAATTTCGCTCTTATATCGTGTTAATCTTATTAAAATCAATGAATAGTCTAGTCCTTACATTCAATGTACTACATTAAGTATTCCTTATCCACTTCCCCCACAAAAAAAAGGAAATCATCAAGACATAACTTTCGGATATATGGAATCCTCTAAAGACTTCCATGAAATGTGGTATATATATATATCGTGATGGTAAGAGTAGATTATTTGATCTGCATGGAAATCAACAATACATAACTATTGGGCATGTGGAATCCTCTAAAAGAGGTTTCGTGGGTTATGGTATACCATATATCGTGATGGTAAGAGTAGATTATTTGATCTGCACGTATATGATCATTGAGAAAAAAGAAAGAAATGATATAATTATTCAACGGTGATTGTATCATTTCTTTCTTTACTACTTACTTCAAGGAAGTTGTTGAATGGACGAAACTGATTGCTTCAATTTGTTTTTAAAGTTTCACACTAAAATTGAGATGAAAATTAAAAAAGTAAGCTTTAGTTTTAACTCTTAGATATTAATGAAAATTCATGTTGAAGACGCGATTGCAGGTAAATTCGAATATTCTGGTATGTTAAACCCAAAGAATTCTCCGTACAAATCAGATGATAATAGCAATATCGGCAATTTTGATTCTGTATTTAAACTATTTCACTCGCAAAAATTCATATCAACAAACTTTTAAGATTTTGCTCTCTCTCTCTCTCTCTCTTCTCTCATATTGAATGAAGAATTAATAAGTGAAAATATTTTCGAATACTTTAATTTTAATGTAAAAGGATTAAGAGCATTGTTTCTCTCTTTTAAGCAAAATAATTAGAAAAGATTAATTTTACTCGAATCAAATTAGGTCTAATTTTAAAAAAATATATTTTTTAATGATAAAATCTGTTAAATTTGAAACAACACTTCAAAAGATTATTTTTAATATTTTAAATGTCTTACTTTACGCTTGATTATGAGCATAATTTCATGATAGTGTGAGATACTAAGTTTCACTTTCAAATTTTAATTATTGCTAAATCGGCTTCTTCGAATTCACGGAGAATTGAGTTACCTTTAAATATATTTATTTTAATAATTTCTACAAAACTTCTGATTTGGTCTTTGTAAGATAATCTTTAAACATTATATCATCTCGTGATAGATTAAATATTGAATATCATCGGCACAACAGAATATTGTTCGTTTGAAATCAGGAATGGGGATCCTCTTTGAAAAGAGGGAAAAAAGGAATTGAGAAATAGAAGAAAAAGAAAAGAGCAAGTAAAAGCGAAGAAAAAGAAGAAGGAAGAAGAAAATATTGTTGAAATATTTGTTGTTTCCAAAATATTGTTGAAATATTTGTAATCCAGAAATCATATACTTACCGTTTGCTAACAGTTATAAGTATAATATTTTTTGACTGAATGATCAAATTTTCCTAATTAATTTTGATTAATTTACCAAAAGAGTGGCGATCCATTAAATTGACCTTTATTTTTTGTTGTAATTGTATTTCAAAAGCGGTTGTTACCATTGCAACAGTTTAATGCGTTAGGGAAGAAGTGAATTTATTTCGAGCCGTTAAATTAAAATTGAAATCTGTTGAATTTTATTTTTAACATTTGTTGA